TGGCTAGCCGCGTACAGCATTTCCCCACAAGTAGCACCAGTAGTAGTAGCAACTGCTCGTTGCCCACCAATGTGGTTAATCCCATGCAACAGCAAGCACCACCAACCACCAGCAGCTCCACAACCAGGCCTACAAATCGGGTGCTTCCAATGCAGCAGCGTCAGGAACCTGCTCCGTTGTCCAACGAGTGTCCCGTAGTTCCGTCACCCACTCCTCCGAAACCTGTTGAGCAGCCTATAATCCAACAAATGACCAGTGCCAGTGTGTCCAAGTGCTATGCCCAGAAGTCAACATTACCGTCACCAGTTTACGAGGCGGAACTCAAAGCCAGTTCAGTTTTGGAGAGCATTGTGCCAGCTGTCACAATGGATGCAATCTTGGAGGAACAGCCGGTTACCGAGTCCATTTACACGGAGGGACTCTACGAGAAGAATTCGCCGGCGGAGTCCAAGACCGAACAGCTACTTCTCCAGCAACAGCAACGAGAGCAACTAACTCAACAACTGGCGAACAACGGGTATCTGCTCGATAAGCACGCCTTTCAAGTGGAGCCAATGGATACGGATGTCTACAGGGAGGAAGATCTCGAAGAGGACGACGACGAGGATGATGACTTCAGCTTGAAAATGGCCACATCAGCGTGCAACGATCACGAGATGTCCGACAGTGAAGAGCCGGCGGTCAAGGATAAGATCAGTAAGATACTAGACAACCTGACTAACGATGACTGTACAGATTCAATAGCCACTGCGACGACGATGGAAGTGGAATCCAGCGCTGGTTACCAGCAAATGGTGGAGGATGTCCTGGCCACCACTGCAGCAGCATCTGCTCCCACCGAAGAGTTTGAAGGAGCTCTAGAAACTGCAGCTGTGGAAGCAGCTGCCACCTATATCAACGAGATGGCCGATGCTCATGTACTGGAACTTAAGCAGCTGCAAAATGGAGTGGAACTGGAGCTCAGGAGAAGAAAAGAAGAGCAGCGAACGGTGTCACAGGAACAGGAGCAATCCAAGGCCGTCATAGTGCCCACAGCAGCTGCTCCAGAAGCACCACCACCCATTCAAGAGCCCAAAAAAATGAGTGGTCCACATCTGCTTTATGAAATCCAAAGCGAAGATGGCTTTACGTACAAATCCAGTTCCATAACTGAGATTTGGGAGAAGGTCTTTGAGGCAGTACAGGTGGCCAGGCGGGCACATGGACTCACTCCGCTGCCAGAGGGTCCTCTGGCGGATATGGGTGGCATCCAGATGATTGGTCTAAAAACAAATGCCCTAAAGTACCTAATCGAACAGTTGCCAGGCGTGGAAAAGTGCTCAAAATATACTCCCAAGTATCACAAGCGCAATGGCAACGTGTCCACAGCGGCGAATGGAGTACATGGAGGCAACTTAGGCGGAATCAGTGCATCCGCTGCCCTGTCGTTGTCTGGTGGAGATTCACATGGTCTGCTCGACTATGGCTCGGATCAGGATGAATTGCAGGAAAATGCTTACGATTGCGCTCGATGTGAGCCTTATGCTAGCCGCAGCGAGTATGATATGTTCAGTTGGTTGGCCTCTAGACATCGCAAGCAGCCCATCCAGGTGTTCGTCCAGCCATCTGACAACGAGCTGGTACCCAGGTTAGTGTATATTTCTAATTTTGTTGCACGACATCTTTATGGATTGGAGTCTTTATGTGGTTTGTTTAGGAGGGGAACTGGTAGCAATCTACCAATGGCCATGAAGTATCGAACGCTAAAGGAGACTTACAAGGATTATGTTGGAGTCTTCAGATCCCATATCCATGGACGAGGCCTCTACTGCACTAAGGACATTGAAGCGGGTAAGTTTTCCGTTTAACTTTCTCCTAAAAAGAAATAAATTAATTCATTGTACCCTTATATACTTATTACAGGTGAAATGGTTATCGAGTATGCCGGCGAGTTGATTCGCTCCACACTGACGGACAAAAGGGAGCGTTACTACGACAGCCGCGGTATTGGGTGCTATATGTTCAAAATCGACGATAACCTTGTAGTGGATGCCACAATGCGTGGCAATGCGGCGCGCTTCATCAATCACTGCTGTGAGGTGAGTACAAGGGAAGTGTCCCATTACACTGGAGATGCTTAAATCCTTTTCCCTTGCAGCCGAATTGCTACTCGAAAGTGGTGGACATTTTAGGGCACAAGCACATCATCATCTTTGCGCTGCGCCGAATCGTGCAGGGCGAGGAGCTTACCTACGACTACAAATTTCCATTCGAGGAGGAGAAGATACCTTGCTCATGCGGTTCCAAAAGGTGTCGGAAGTACTTAAATTAAAAAAGGAAGATCAGTGTCAGAGATAAGAACCAAGTAGGACGCTGGGCGTCAAATTAATCTGTATACTCAGCAACCAGGGTTGGTTTTACACATCTGACAGATCCCAAGGGTGGAAAGAAATCCAGAAATTTGAATACAACGTTGTTGACCGAAATACATTGGTTTTAATATCATGTTTTACTTTTGAATGGAAAAGTATTTTAAGGTTCTACTTCAAGGCAACGTACTACTTCAACCTTTATACGAAAAAAAAAAAAACAATTTGGTACATCACTTAGATGTAATCATTTTACTACACTTGTTCTACTTGTTCTGATTGGACTCAAATAATCGATCTTTACTAATATTTATATACAGTTGAACTTTAATTTGTAGCCCTTTATTACAAACGTAGTACTGATCAAACATTTTCTCAGATCAATTACGTGGAGCCTAAAATGAAATCCCAGTTTTTCCATTGAATAAAGGCAAACATGATATTAAAAACAGTTCTGTTTAGTACAACAGGCTTGTAATTGTGCAAAGATTATTTTCTGTCCCAATTTTCATTGCATAAACTAAAAGCTGCCCACAATGGGGGCAGAAAAAACTCACCTGGAATGAGAATTGAAACACGTGTAGTTAACGGTTATATCGATCTATGTTTGGTCAATCGTGATACTTTTCGTTTTACAACCCCCATACGTCTTAAGTAGTTGATATGTACAAGTTAAACAGTTGATATTATTATATATCCTATATCTAAAGAACACGGCACACAGTAGGCAACGAAGCAAATATATCCGAGCGATCGGAGTCAAAGAACAGAAACTCGATGACGTCAGTATTCAAGGGGAGAGAATTAATAATTGTAAATTAAATATGTTACGTACTAGCTACCTACCACATACGGATAATGATATGCAGATCAGTTAGCTAACTAGAATAAGGCTCCACAGATTCTATAAACAAATACAAATAACTAAGCTAAGCTGATAAATATAACATTGTTGGGCTTAGGCGAATAACAGATAAACGATGGGAGACATTAAAAACAATTACTTACAGGGGCTTGTGTTAGATTGTACATATATTGCATACGAATTATAAATATCTATATTATATATCTACTGTAATGAGAAATTAACTTAAGGTTAAGTCACCAGGATTGTGTAAGAAGAAACTATTTTATGTAGAGCTCTGCGTATTTATGTTTGTTACCAATTAACCTACTGATTAATTGATTGACCTACGAATAATATCCGCAACCACATGCTTATATATATATTTAGAGAACGAAACCAAGCATCACCCTTGAAATTATTGTATTGTGAAAAGGCAACCACAACAACACCAGCCAATTGTAATTGTACTAACTCCATTGATTGTATATTTATTATTGTACACCTAAGTTATGCAGCATGTACATTTTTGTGACCGTTTGTTTGCCTTGATTGAAGCTCAAGCGTAATCATAATTTGTAACGCCTATCTTTAGTTCAGCTCCCATGTATTCTAATACTTTAACAATTCTTTCGCTTAAGACTAGCATTAGTCCGCTCTGGTATTTGTCCAAAATTGTACACACACAGCAGGCAGATATGTATATTCCTATCGGGGCGATCGGTCGGACTTGTACAGGCAAAGTTCCATAGCATTTTTTGGCAGCCATTCAAGACGCGCGCACTTTTTGCACGCTGTCGAGGAATTTTATATTTTTATTCCCTAAAGAAAAAAGTTTAATAAACTACAGATTAAAATTCAAATTGATTTCGGTTTTCTGGATTTATGCAAAATATATGGTATTATGGTATATCAATATATCTCATTGTACTCCCGCCACGCTCGTCGCCCCCTTCCGCTGCGAGAAGCACCTCCACACTCCGGCTGCTCTATACGCTGTTTGGCTTCCTGGGCTGCTTTGGCTGCATTGAGTGCCGCCTTCTTGGTCTTCTCGAAGTCCATTCGAGCTTCGCTGAGCTGGCGCATCAGCTCAGTAACCCGCCGCTGAGCAGCCTCTAAAAGGGCTGTCTTGTCGCCAAGCGATTGTTTCCACACTGCGTAAACTTGATCGGAGGCCTCCCGGTTGTCCTTGGCCAGCTTGAGGCTTATGGTCAGCGTGTTGAGCTCCTGCTGGCCCAAATGGTAGGTCTTGGTGGCGAGCTGTGCACTCGCCTCGGCGGTGATCAGCTCCTGGTTTTCCTCCTGCACCACCATTTCGGCCTCCCGGACCTCCGCTTCCAATTGCTCCAGTACCTGACCCTTTCCGAACAGCACTGCTTCGGCAGCTTTGGCCGCAGCGGTTGCCTTGTCTGCATACTCGTTCTTGATCTTATCAGCGGCCACCTTTACGGCTGTGGCCATATCGTCGTTAGCCTTTTTAGCCTCGGTGGCCGCCTGGACGGCGATTCCGGAGGACCGCTGTTTGGCATTAACATGGATTCGCTTCGGCTTGTTTGGCGTCGAGTTGCTCGCCTCCCCCGACATGTCGCACACAGCTCCACCGCCACCGCCACTGCCACCACCAGCGAAGGTCGTCATCAGGTCCGAGTCCTCCGTCTGCATTGGCTTTCGGCGGGTTCGATAATGGCTGCCGGTAGCGGATGCCAGGAGCGAGGATAACACAATTATTAGCCACATAATCTGAGTGTCTATCCGCATTTTCCGTAGTCTCGAACATTTTTTCGACTGTCAATCGGACGGATATGCCTGTCAAGCCCGGAAATCGAGAGTATGCTCTATTGCCAGGCAATGTGCCTATTCCTGCTTAACTTTGCTTGCGTTTCTCGGAGCCACATAATCATGATAGGCGACACGGTGAGTCCTAGCCCTCCAATCCGTTTGTGAAGTCTTATTTCATAACTTCTTTTCCTATCGGCACTAAACAAGGGTCCTGATTTGGCTCGTTTGTATGAGCCAGCAGGCGAAAAAAGGGAGACCATTGGTGAAGGATCGTCCGAAGAGTTACCTTGTGATGCCGCTCAAAAGTCTTGTGGCCTTAACCAAAAGAACGCCAAGAGCAAGGCTTCCAGCATTGCTGTTAAGGCCGCCCTGGACGCCAAGGCGGCCAATGACGCCCAGATGGCCGCCGGAGAGGCAGCCTCTCTCAAAGTGAAAGTGGAACTGGCCGAGAAGGCGGTCCAAGCAGCTCGAGCGGCCGAGGCAGCTCTTGCGGGCAAACAGCAGATCATGGAGCAGTTGGAGCTGGAGCAAAAAGAGGCGGATGCGGTGGTCTGTGAGGTTCGGAGCTCAATCCAAAGCACGCAGGCGAACGCAGAGTCTGCCATGAAAGCACTTAGCGATGCCAAGACCCAGCTGGATCAACTTAAAGTCCTTGTGACTGAGGCTACCGCTCAAATGGGAAACATCGAGGTTTTCGCTAATGGTGCCCAGATGGAGCTGGACGAAAAGGGGCATCTGCTGGAGGCTGCCAATCGGAGAATGGAGTGCGTCTACAGGCAGGTCCTCGCTGCCAGGCAGGATTACGACAAGACCAAGAAGGCTGCCTACAAGGCGGCTTGTGCGGCAGTGGAGGCCAAGCAAAAGGCTCAAAGGATGCAAAGGGAAATCAGCTCCGCCTCCCTTCAAGCTAAAAACGATCTCTACTAGACTGGTGGTCTTGTGAAGTGGATGCCATGCATAATCATTATAAGTGATGAAAGGGATGATATGATTATTAAAACTTGTATTTGTTGAGGGTTTTTAATGGTCAATTACCAATGTGTTTTGCCAATAAAATAATATATTTTATTAATTATATAGAGAAAATACTTTGAGGATGACTCAAATATATGAGTGTATAGATCCTCCTAAACAATAGAGTTCTTTAGTCCGAAAAAATATCCGTATAAACTTTCCGACTCGTCTGGAGCTTAATTTACTTGTTTTTTTTGTTGTGCTTTTCAGTCAAATCTGGCTTTCCGAATGGAGTCAGAGTGGAATGTTTCCAAATATTCGATCGGAATATGCCTGGCACGAAAACCCTGCTCCTCGTCCTGCTACTGCTGCGTGCGTTCCCTCGACTGGAGAGCTTCCACTACCGACCTGCCGAAACGAATGCCAAGCAGTGCCTGTCCGGATTGTACGGCGAGGCCGGGATCGATGGATCTGGAGAGGCGGGCGGAGGCGGATGCGGGAGCTCTGGGGAACAAAATTCGAAGAAATCAATGGGCTGCGGCGGTGGCAGCGGCGCCTTCGGTCGCGGAGATCCCAAGCAAAAGGCCTCAAACATTGCCCAAAAAGCCGCTCAGGAGGCGAAGGCAGCCAGCGATTCCCAGATGGCAGCAGCCGAGGCGGCTGCATCCCAGGTCAAATCCGAACTGGCCGCCAAGGCAGCTCAATCCGCTCGGGCGGCGGAGGCAGCACTGGCCGGAAAACAGCAGATTGTTGAGCAGCTGCAGCAGGAGATGACCGAGGCGGATGCGGTTGTCAGTGAGGTCACCTCGTCCCTACAAAACACCCAGGCGAATGCCAATGCCGCCGCATCGGCTGCCCACGAGGCCCAAACGCAGCTCAATCAGCTGAAGAACCTGGTGATGGCCGCCACGTCCAATCTGGCCAATATCGAGAACGTAGCAAGTGGTGCGCAGCAGGAGCTGGCCGAGAAGACACAGCTCCTGGAGGCGGCCAAGCATCGTGTGGAGAATCTTAGCCGCCAGATGACCGAGGCCAAGTCGGACTTTGAGAAGACCAAGCAGGCGGCCTACAAGGCGGCCTGTGCTGCAGTGGAGGCCAAGCAGAAGGCACAAAGGGCTCGGCGAATGACCCACCGCCAGCAGGTGCGATGGGGTCCACGCAAGTTGGCCGGAAAGTTTTCCGGCGGCGGCAGCCAAAATCTAGAACCGAATTTAGGGATCAATTGATCTTTTCTATATTTTGTTATGTTCGATTTCGGTCTTATTAGTTTCCTATTGAAAGATAAAGAATTTGTATCTATAAATAAAAGAGGTGCATGATTATTTTAAGGCTATCTACGGAAAATAACAAGTTTCATTTACAAGGAAATATTTGAATTATTTCTTTTAAATTTATTTTCAAATCTAAAGCCCTTAAATTTTCTGTTACGCTGCTGTAAAGTACGCATCCATGTTAAATGTGACTGTAACAAGCACTTTTAGCCGAGTGATGGGCAGCACTGGTGGAACAGCTGTTCAATGTTATAAAATCAACCGGCAAATTGTTAAAGATATTTTTTACTTATTTGTGTATTAAAATAGCTTTTAAAGTGATGCTTCTGAGAAGAATAAAGTGCCTGCGATATTTGGGAATCCGCTGCAACAGTTCGCACTATGTGACAACGCCAATCTTCTATGTAAATGCAGGTAAGCCCCTTAGTTTTAGAGCAATTTAACCACGATGGATAATAAAAAGGAATCGCTTTTATCGGATAGCTCCTCATATTGGTCACCTGTACTCAGCGGTCATAGCCGATGCCCACTGTCGCTACCAGAGACTAAGGTATCCGGAGCAGCACGTGCGACTCTGCACGGGGACGGATGAGCACGGTACCAAGATCCAGCAGGCGGCATCTCTTCACGGGATTCCCGTTGCCAAATACTGCGATGACATATCGCAGCGATATCGGGAGGTGTTCCGCAGTGCCAGTATCCAGCCGGAGGACTTTATTCGCACCACTGAGGACCGGCACAAGCGGGCAGTTGCCAATTTCTGGGTAAGATTGGAGTGCAACAGGCTAGAAATAGTATTAATGTTATTTTTGAAATCTCAATCCCAAGCGCACACTTTACACACGCGGTCACATATACTCGGCCGCCTACAGCGGCTGGTATTGCGTGTCTGACGAAACCTTTCTCACCGACTCCCAGCTGAGATTGGACGAGGCCTCTGGCACCCGATACTCCCTGGAGTCTGGGCATCCCGTCGAATGGACCGAAGAAACCAACTACATGTTTAGACTGTCACAGTTCCAGGACGACGTGGGTCATTGGGTGAAAGCGGAGGCTCGCATCCGCCCGGCCAAGTTCGAAAAGATTCTGCTGGACACGCTCAGCGAACCACTGCCGGATGTATCGGTATCACGACCTTCCAACCGCGTACACTGGGCCATTCCCGTGCCGGATGATGAATCGCAGACTGTGTACGTCTGGTTGGATGCTTTGGTCAACTATCTCAGCTCTGTGGGCTATCCCGAGGAACAGGTGAGTCTCGAGGCGTTTATTGATGTGCTTAAACTTTTAACATGAACATGAAATTTTAGTTCTCTGCCCACTGGCCACCGGCGCAGCAAGTGATTGGCAAGGACATCCTCAAGTTCCATGGCATTTACTGGCCCGCTTTCCTCCTGGCTGCCGGCTTGAAACCTCCTGGACAGCTCTACGTTCACTCGCACTGGACCGTCGATGGGCAGAAGATGTCGAAGAGCAAGCACAACGTGGTGGATCCCGTCCAGGCAGCGCGGCAGTACACCATGGAGGGCCTGAGATACTTTCTTCTGCGGGAGGGCGTGGCCCACAGCGATGGCAGTGAGTGAATCGAAACCGCGAAATCCCTTTGATGTCTGTGGCTTGCTCACTTTGCGGCTGCAATGCCACCATGTGGCCACCATGAAAATCGCAGAGGCAGGGAATGAATGGGCGTTGGAGGACTGCGGGCAGGAATGCCCTGGCTGCGGTTATTCAAATAGTTTTTCCATCAAATTATCAACCGAAACTGTTGAGGCTGCCTTGAAGTGTTCGCTTGTGATGTGAGTGGCCATCTGTCGTCGTTAGTTTTACGGCTATGGTTACCTCTGCTTAAATTTGCATTTCAATTTTATGCCCGAGCTGCCAAACCTAAAAAGGGAACTAAAGTCGAGTAACCGAAAACTTTTGGTCTAGCAGGAGCAGGCGAAAGCTAACTTTTGTTTATTTGCCTCGAAAGTTTTCGTCTCCCGAACCTGGAGCCATTTGCATTTCGAATGGGGCCCACAGTTTGGACGGAGGGCAAGTTTCCGTCAGGAATTCATCAATTGTCCGCCAGATATGATTACGTATGGCATTGAGACGGGTTATCGAAAGCAATTAACACACTTCGCTGAGTGTCACGGGATGCGCTCTGATTGATTCGGCAAACCTTTTCGGGTTTTCCATTTGCATAAATTGCTGGAATACCGCGCAACGCCCCCTATGCCCTTAAAAATTTAATTTTCAATTATTGCTGACTTTGCTTTTGCGACGGATTTTCCAGACAGGCGGCTGCTTTTCACGTTTGCCTTTATTCAATTTGCGCTTGTTGATGTTTCTCTTTTTAATTTTTTTATGCCCCGCTGCCTTGCGGCTAATTTAATTGCATTTTTATTGCATTTGGCCAGCAAATTGAAACCAAAAAACAAAAAATACATGCTTCAATAAAAGTGTGCGAACTGCTGCAGTGCGACGACGCCGCATAATTAAATTACAAAAGTTCGACATCTCGCACATTTTGCATATTTTTCGGCCCATGAATGATTTACGCCGCGCGGCAGACAAATTTGCATTAATTCAAGTCGACTGCCGTCCATTAGGTGGAAAATCACTTATTTCCATCCGTTTCGATCGGTTTGCTGCAAATTCGTTATTGTGGCCCAAGGTGACATCCGTTTGCAGAAAGCTCTTGGGGACGACATCGTCACTAAATGCTCAAGTTTTCATTACAGGCCAAACTTCCGCGACACAGAAATTGCATTTCGAATTTGATAAAACAGATGCTGGTGAGGGAGCAGAAATAGTGGAAGGACCTGGAAGGACCTCGAAGGACCTTCAGCATCTGCGGTTATGTTAGAAAAAGTTGCCCAGGAAATGCAAATAGGGTAGGTGCGTTGATGCAATCAACTTCCTTGCGGCGTCACTCAATTTGAAAAATTTGAATACATAAACTTTCCACTGGAGACGGGTTCGCCTGCGGAAGTTTGAAAGCGTTTTTACGTAACTTTGTGTTCTTGGATAATTGTTGTGAAGCAATTTCAATTGCTAACAACGATAGCCTCTCAGCCAAACGTCGTAATTTTGGAATCCAATTAAATATGTTATCCAAAAGGTTCTTTTTCCATCATTAACTACTTCGGCTTACTACGGCGATAATGAACTGAATCTATGTTACTTTATTTACTAAATTCCATGGAATTTTCTGGTACGATAGATACTCTAGTCGAGGTTGCTGCGTCTGTAAAAATCTAAAAGCGTTACAATTCTCTCAATTACTCGGATTATTTTGATGCACATGTCTGTTGGTGCACAGGATTTCCCCATTCAGAGCGAAATAAGTAAGCAGGAGTAACTCATCCACTATGGTAATGAAGTTCACGTGCATCTGCATGCCATTTCCTCTTCCTATATTGTAGAGAACTCCTTCTTGGGAGGGAAAGGGCATCGTACATATCTGGAGCTAAACTACTCTAGAACTCAACTAGTTCGCTCGGTTAGATGAAAACTTTGCTTCCCAGAAAATTGATTGATTTTTGTTCGGCTTGCCGTAAAAACGCCTCTTAAATGCTTTCCTTTAAATTTTTGTGTACTTCTATATTGGTTTTGTAAATTTCTCTGGATTTACCAAAAAAGTTTTTGCCACGCCCACAAACCGTCCATACTTTTGACAACTTGTTGATTTTTTTATTTTATTTTTCTTGCCAATTTCTATCGATATGCCACAAAAATGTCGCTTGCACTCCCACTATCAAAGTAACAGATTAAACGGTTTATTAAACGGTTTAATTAATTTTGACTTAATTTTGAGTTGAGGAATATATTTTGT